CTCATCTACTGTCATATCCAGCTCTTGTAATTTCGTTCCTAGGTCAATCAAGTTCATGATATGAGCTCTCACACAACCCTGTCCATCATACTTTATATCAATCAATTGATTCAGCAGGGAACTCTTGACAGCTTTTTCAGATTCCTTGAACCTTTGTGCAATTGACTCATAGTATTGCTGTGCATTCTTAGATTTAGGAATGCTTCCTTTCACTGATGAAGACATAGCCCTTTGCATGATTAACATAGCCATCTTGTTTGCCTTTTCCCATTTGGCAAACTTAGTCTTAGTTTCTGCAGAAGCATCTGCAGCTGGTTCCTGGGGAGGTGCCTCTTTGAGCACAAAATTGTAATCCAGAAAACCTAGAGATATTTCCAGATCTTGTTTCCATTTGCTATAATTTGATCCAGTCAAGGTTTCGATGGAGTTGTGATTCACTGTAGAATTTGCAATACAAATTAAATAAAACTGTCCCTAAAACTTTACTTAAACATGTTATCTCATACCTTTGGGTTTAAGTTTAAACATGTTCCAAAATCCTAGACAGTTAATCGTACAAGCTTCCTGCGCAAGTAACTCACATCTGTGGATGTAAAGATACTCACATGCCAGTGCAATCAACTGTCCAGATTGTTCCATAAGTGCTGTGATCAATCTGTACAACTTTCCATCTGTGGATGGAGAATCATATAGAAGGCTACGAACACTGATGCAATTTTCTGACCAAACTGTTAAATTCAAGAACTCCTACACAGCCTGAGCAGCTGTGGCTTACTCATTCTGCATAGCAGTTTTCAAATTTTTGGTCAAAACTTTATGAGCAGAGATAACCTTATGCTCTTTTAACAGTTAAGATTTACAAACAAAAGAAAAACTGCATACTTTATAGCTTACGATCAATTAGTCAGATTAAAGAACAAAAGCCTAGAGCTCTGATACCACATGTAAGTCTGTACTAAGCCTTTATGCAATAATACTAACCTTGTTCAGCCATTGAAGCAGAAGAGAATTCTGGTTTCGTCTAGAAAGTCTTCTTCCCTCTGCAGCTCTTTATGTCTCTTGCTCTTAGATAGGGTGAGTACTGATTTTTAGAGAGCGTGTTTGCTGCAAGGGAAGGGACCTCTATTTATAGATGCATCACTACGAAAACCTTGCCTATCAAGAAGTATTCGAGTGTCCTTTTTGCATTAGAATAGGTTTGTTTCAATCCATGTTGTATTAGGAATCCTGATAATACTTGTGTTTGATTTTAATAAGCTCTGTACAAG